TTTCCATCAATAAAGTTTTCTTTTACTGATAATAAAAAAAAAAAGTTTACATAAGACCCATGATGGACTTATGAAAGGTCATGGCTTCCCTCTTATTGAAAGCATTTCATTTTACTTTTTTTTGATAAATTATTTAATAATGCCACATGGCTATCATATTTACTATAAATGAGCTGATGTTGCATCCTAATTGGAAAAACCACATTCGTTAATAATGACCCCACCACTCGCTAATCTATTGAAAGCTTTGCATTTTACTTTTTTTTGATAAATTATTTAATAATGCCACATGGCTATCATATTTACTATAAATGAGCTGATGTTGCATCCTAATTGGAAAAACCACATTCGTTAATAATGACCCCACCACTCGCTAATCAATAATATTAGAAATATTAATTAGTATACAAATAAATGCATAAATACAAGACATGCTTGTGAAATTTACAACTTAATATGGAACGCACTTACAGTAATGCTATGAATCCAGACTTAAATATTTATAAATTATCATCCTATAAATTAGATTTATTCTACATATGTACCTTACATTACATAAATTTAATTTTCATCACCCACCTACCCACAAAAATATGGGTCGATAAGTCTGGTTCCCCGACTTATTGACCCACTTAACATTGTGTTTAGTTAATAGATTTAGTAGTATAATAGTTAGTGTTTCTAATATTAATATTGCCCACCGGTAAGTTGATTAAATTAAGCGATTTGATGAGTAAAAATTTTAAAAAATGAGGATGAGAAAAAGAAAATTTTCATACTTGGTTTAGAAACTTAAAAAGAGAAATAGAACGTTCTTATTTATGTCAGTTTCATTTCAAACCAAAAGTTGTGAATTTACAAATTGATTGTGTATTTTTCATACTATCGAGATCATTTATCAAAATACAAAAGAAACAAAGAAAATTTCACTCATATCTCTGTTACGCATGTCATTCATCAAAACACAAAGGAAACAAAAGAAAATCTCACTCATATCTCTATTACACATGTCTTTCTTTTCTTTTTTTTTTTGATCAGTAGAAATCCATTAATGGAAGCCAAAAACAGCATTTACAAGGGCCATCAAACGACCAAGCTTACAACAAAACAGAGAAAAGAAAATTACAAGAAGCACTTTGAAGAAAAAATATGAAAATATTCAGACGCACATCATGTGCTTGGGCTCATACTGCAAAAGCAAAGCCGATCAAAATCGACAGTAGAGCCTGTCTAAAATAAATCATATATTTCAACCACAAAGTTTGAAAAGCCACAATCTAAGCACAGATGACCCCAAATCCACAAGCAAAAACTGAGGAAAAAAAAAAAGGACTTCCATTCCAGGATCCATGGCAAATCTGATGATGGGGAGGTGGTAGGAGGAGCAGATCTAATAGAAAGAGCAGATCTAATGCCCAACATACTTAGGAGACGGACGATCCGACAGATTTGGTAGGGTGGAGGCGGCACGGACGGAAGACAAAGAACGAGATTGGCAGATCCAGTGAGACCCTAGTTGGGGAAGTCTGAGAAGAATGAGGATGAAGAGTAAAGTTCTACCAAGATGGGGAAAAGGACCTCACATGGAGAGAGAAATGGAAAGACTAAGCTTCCAAAGTATTATTGAGCCAAAAAGGACAATAAAAACGAAAGAGATGAGGGGCAAAAATGAGGGGAGAGGCTGCCAGAGATCGGAGCCCCCCTCTCCTGCCCCGAGCAACGCCTTCAAAGAAACCCTAGGAGAGGTAGAGAGAGAAGTGGGAATTGGTAATGTTTGTGCCCTATTACACGTCATTCATCAAAAAAAAAAAAAAAAAAATCACTCATATCTCTATTACACAAGTAATTTTTTTTTATTCATCCAAATATAATAATAAGAAAGCATAACTATTTTTTTTCTTTTTCTTACCTAAATAAAATAACACAATGTTTCTCAAGCTAATATAATAATAATATATGAGATAATAAATCCGTTATAATATATAAGTGTAATTATATATTATAACATTATTATAAATATATATAGCTCCAAAAGCTATTTTACTTTATGATTCTTCACATCCTCCAGGGGCGGCACCATTACAGACAATGCACCTTGCTTCGGTGACAAACCTGCAATATTAATAAAAATTTATTTAAAAAATAAATAAAATCTTGTAAAATTAGTTAGTTGGCTCACATTTAAAAATCCTATTTATTCATAAATATTTTATCTTATTCTATGATTGATTTTTGTGTTTCTAGATCTATGTTTTTAATTAGGGGTGAGAATTATATCGTGTCCTATTTATGTCATATCATCTTGTATTCGTATCATAATTTTCTAATAACAAATTTATTTTTTTGAGTTTTTGTCAGAATCACGTTGTGTTAAATGTGTCATATTAAACAATTTCACAAATTAAAATATCAAATGTATGTAAATATCATTTTTTACAATTTAAATTTCATGGAACTGACATTTATTAAATGCAATTCTTCATAAAAATATTTAATTTCAAACTCAATTTTGTTTTAAAAAAATAAAATCCTACATTTTTTTACATCAAATTATTGGGAAATAAAAACATCATATTGATGCTAAGATTATATTTTACATATATATTTTTTATTTTAGTCAATGAAATTGCATAAGAAATTTAAACATGTCATGACACTATTTGATAAAAACAATATTGAAAAGGGTAACTAATCTTTCTTAAATAATTTTTTTTTTTTTTTGATGGTCTCCTTAAATAGATTATAAGTGTCAATTTTGCGTCATATGAGTTCGGCACTAATTTAATTAATTTATTAAATTTTAAGTTAATTTTTATGAGGTTTACATGGTTAAATTTACGACAAATCAAAAGTTAACCCATATCTTGCAACTTTATAATCATGGAAAAAATTGAGATACTTGAATTGTGAGTCTCAATATTGTGTTTGGTTTAATTTTTAAAAATTATTTTTAATTCACAAACATATTTAGAAAGTAAAATATGAATTTTTTGTACTTAATAATTTTTTAATAAATATTTTATTTTTGTTAGAAAAACTTTAAAAGTCAATATATGAATTTTTGCACATAATTTTTTTAAAAAAAAAATAATTAAAATACAAATATTAAAATATTAAAAAAAACTATTAAAAAATTGAATTTCAAAACCAAATAGAAAAACAAAAAATAAATAAAAAAATGAAGCTATACGCACCAATTGATATATCACTTACTGTAGTAACGGATGATGTGGCATAATTTTATTTTATGTCAATATAGTTTATATAATTAGCAGTTGACCCGTGCAATACAAGTGCTATTTTTTTTTCAAAAAATATTTAACAGTACAATGTGTGTTATAAAAGAATAATTTTATTTTTAATTTAAAATTAAAATTAAAGTATAATTTTAATTCTTTATTTTGATAATATTGACGTCATCGTTCTATAAAATTGTTACTTGAATACTTATATATATTAATTTTAGTTAAATTATATATATTAATATAGGAAAGAAAATATAATTTGATATATAGAATCACTATAAAATTTAAACGACAAATTCATAATATATAATAATATATAATTAGTATTGGGTAAGAATAATGCACAGAAAAATAAGAAGAAAAAAAAAAGAGCAATTTAGTATTAAAAAAAATCTTTATACCCTTGAAAGAATTAAAAAGAAAAACGTAAAACACAAAATTGGCATTGGATTTATGGATTATCTCAATTTACGATAAAAAAATATATGAAAAGAAATATTTGTCAAATAGAATCCATATAAAATAAGTTAAGTTACTATAATCATGGAACCTAGTAGTCGATAAGGTGAACAAGAAGTTGTCTTCTTGGAAGAGGAAATTGTTATCTTATGCTGGAAGACTGACTTTGATCAAATCAATCCTCACAAACATGCCAATCTATTTCCTTTCTCTTTTTACAATGCCTACGGGTGTTGTTCAGACTTTAGTCAAGCTACAGTTATCTTTTTTGTGGAAAGGGAATGATAAGAAAAGGAAAGTGCACTTGGTTAAATGGAGGAAGGTCACCAAAAGCAAAAGTATGCTTGTTATTAAAATAGTGGTGGAGATATGGTAATGAAGATACAACTCTGTGGAAATCTGTGGTTTGCTCGAGGCATGGTAGGACTGGTGGGGGTTGGGCTCCAACTATGAGTCTTTAAGGTGTGGTATCCACGGTTTGGCAGGAAATTGTGCGGCTTCTTTCAGTAAACCAACACTTGGGTGAGTTCTATGGTGGCCATTTTAGAATTAAGGTTGGTAATGGGAGGAGAATTCAATTATGGTATGATGCCTGGCTCAACAACAGAGGTTTGCAGGATCAATTTCCCAGATTATACATCTTATCCACTGAGAAAGAGGAGACTTTACAGCAAATCAGTGCCAAGAAAAGTAACTCAGGGGTGTGGCAGCTTAGCTTTAGAAAACAATTGTTAGCTTGGGAAGAAGAGGAGTTGCAGAGGCTGATGGGTTTGTTGCTCACATCTCCTTTGGTTAGTTCTGATCTTGTAGATTCTTGCTCTTGGCTAGCTGATAGTTCAAGACAATTTTCAGTCTCATCTGTAGGGATGTGGTGGGATACAGCAAAAGGGCCTAGTCTGGTTGTACCTAAACGGGTGTGGGATTGTTTAGCTTCACCAAAAGTGCAATTCTTTTGCTGGTTGGCTTAGAGAGGAAGACTTAAGACTTCAACCTTCCTACAAAGGATTGGGGTGTTAGATGCCTCAGCAAACATTTTGTGTGTCTTTTGCCAAATTGAGGTGGAAACTTTGGATCATGTGCTTTTGTTTTGTCCACCTGTTTGGGAGTGCTGGCCTCAAATGGTAAAGTGGTGGGATCAGGTTTGAGCAATCCCTGGATCAGTCGAGGGCCTACTGCATTAGTGGTCTGCTGGCAAGCAAAAGCATTGGGTTTCCAGAATATGGAAGATAGTCCCCTCGGTTGTGTTATGGTCTGTTTGGAGATTGTGAAATGATTGTCTTTTCAAAGGGACACAACCTATTTCTTTTGAACTTGTAATTTAACAGATAAACCATGTTCAACTTCGTGAGTATCTCCAGAAGTCAAGGTATTGTGGTCTACTGCATGATGGATAGAGTTGGTTGATACTGAAGAAGTTGAAAAATCATGACCTGTAAGCTTATTACTCATCCGAGCCATAACAACCACAGCACGCTCAATCAAGACCCCATTAGCATCACCTAGTTGATTGACAGCCTGCACATACTCATTTAAACTATTAAGTATGATATTTTGTCTTTGTTTTTATTTTTTGGTTAAGCATAAACTGTAAGCATGATTCACCAGCACACTGGCAGAACTTCCTCACATTCAGAATTTATCAATACCTGAAGTTGTTCCCTCTCCCGAGCACCCCGTTGAGGTTGAAGCAGCTCTCCGTTTGGAGCAATTTCTTCACTGTTCACAACTGGGGGCACATGAGCACCCACAATAGTTGATATTTGAGGGACTTCATTGCAGTTGAAAAGACGCCAGTTTATCAGAGGATCATGAACGAAGGCCTGAAAACAGGTCGAACTAAAATTGGCTTCCATGTTATATAGTGGAATATTAGCTACTTTAAAATGATTTTACCATCAATGACGGTGCCAATTTTCATGTGAAAGGAAAAAGACATAAAAAGAAGGAATGTGAGTGAAATAAAAACAAATTGTTTACATTAACGATTCTATTTCCTCATAGTTATACCTTTGACAAATAGATGGGATAGTAAAAATTTACTGCCTGTGTTCTAAGGAATTTCCCACAGTTTGAGGGATTGAAGTTAATTTAATTGATTTGAGCCAGACTAAGCCAAAAAAAGCTTATTGAAACAGATACAGAACACACAGGAAATTTATGGTGTCTATACCTCCATCATAGCAATGACACTATCCTTTTTTTTTCTTTTTTTTTTGCTGCAGGAAAATCCTCCCTACTCTCCCGCAGGTCCAAGGCAGCGCCCCTTTTGTAGAGACCACCAAGGTATCCTGTTAGCTGTTCCGAGTGAGGAAGCTATAACCTGGGAACTTGCCCCGACCTCCCAAGACAAGTTCCGCTTAAGTCAGGACTCGCACAGCGGGAGAGCATTGAACCCATACCAAGTGCTGGTTAGACAACTTGAGGTCCAACCTCCTAACCAACTGTGCTACGCCCAGGAGATTGGCCCGAGGGGGATTTGAACTCATGACCTGGGGGCTTAATCCCCATGTTCTTACCACAAGGCCACCCACCCCTGGGTTAATGGCACTATCCTTATTTGTTCTGAGAACCTGCATCACATTTTCGCACATTGAACGGAAGTTGCCTTCAATACCGCTAACCTCCATAGCTTTCACAAGCAATCTAGTCAGTCAGAATAGAACCTACATTATCACTTTCATGTCAGAGGTCCTGCATAAACTAACACCATAAGAGGCCATACATGTGTAAGGTTTTGTAGGCAGTAAATCTAGAATAGCATACTTTTTCAAGGAACTTCTCCCGGTTCATTGAAGCTTGAAAACAGTCTCCAAAATCAATGTGCAATATCTTCCCACTGAAGACAACATATCATATGAATACTTTCAAAACCTTAATCATAAATACAACTACTCGTTCTCTTCCAATCATAAAATAACTGTAACGATGCAACATTAGGTTGCTAGGGTGTCGATCACCTAAGCCAAGAAGGTAACCAACCTAAAACATTAGCCAAATATCTTAAAATACAATTTTGTAACAAAAAGAAATGAAAAAAAAAAACTTCATAGATCATATTCATTTGAAGTTGTCAGCAAAATCAAGCATGGTTAGGGCACACTTGCAAGTGACTTCAGATACATTTGTTGACATTAAGTAATTTTGAGTTTCTAGATTACGGTAAGAGACTCTGAATTTTGTTTACTCTTTACTTTTTGTTGAGTACTACATAAACACAACAAATTATTCATAATCACCTAACTAGCTAATTTAGAGTCCAAATATGCACGAAGGATCCACCTACTAAAGTAAAATAATATCATTTAGAAAAACTGAAAAAGTCAAATGTCCAAAATCGTCTCTGCTAATTGTTGGCCTAAAATATGCTATGAGGGGGACTATCTAACCAAAGAAAGAAAAGTATAATAAATTAACATACATTCACTTCGAAATATTCTCTTATCTAAACATTTCTAAAGCATAAAAGGCTGACAAATAAGATCATACATGGGAGCCATATTGTGTTGATTTTGTGAAAACATATACAGTTGGATCCTGCAAGTTTTAAGAAAAAGATCTAAATAATACGAGAAGAAAAATGATACCATGCACATGACAACCAAGCTTCTAGTATCATTTGTCGTCTTGCCCAGCCAATTCTCAGAAGTGCTACTTCTTAACCAAAGAACCTATCAAGAGGCAATGTAACTAACTTGAGAAAAGAATTCCCAGGAGAGAGAGCCAAAGATGCAGCATATTTCTCGAAGAAAACATATCCTTGTACTGCCGCTGCTTCTTGAAGAAAACATATTTCTCTCTCTGCTCAAACACACCAAACCCTCTCATCCTCTCTGCATATAGATCTTGTACTGTCCAAACTTCCATTCCGACAGTTTGTACCGTCGCTGCCCCGATTCAATGGCAATTTCTGGTTCCTCTATCACAGCCTTCGGAGACCACCGACACTGCCAAAGGCCTGAAGAAGAAGATCAGAAGCTCATATACGCCTCTCTCACATCGCATCGAACTCCTTCCTAGCGGTGGAGACTATAGCTGGAGCGGTGGATCTCTTAACCAATGAAGTCCCATCTTGATCATGATCTAACCCTAGGGCTTTCGATTTCTACATCTAGGAGATCTCAAATCTTAGATCTGCAATTGATCGAGGTGTAATCAATCGATTAAGAAGAGGTCGATGTTGCGGACATTGACGGTGGATCTAGATCTAGATCGACCATGTCGAAGCCATCAACAAGATTTCAGAGCCCCCGATTTCATGATAGTGGAAGCTGTCGACGAGTTCGTTCAGAGCCGATCGTGGTGTAGTTGGCGCTGGTGGTCTTAAAAAGGATCACATGAAGATCTCTAAGAGGATCTGAGAGGGAAAAATATGGTCTGGATTGGGCCATGGTAATACCAGGCAAATTGTGGGCCGAACACATTTGGGCCGTGGTATCCCGGGCCCACCCAGAAGTGATTTTTGCTCGGCAATGGCAAGGGCATGTGGAACCGAGCTACTTCACCTTGTCGGCACGGAGGCCGGTCAAGTAAGGGTTCCACGGTTTATGCGTTGTGCGGTTGGAAAGCACGCATCCATAGCTCGGCGTGAAGGCTCATGCCTGAAGCTCGGCAGGAAGGACTTTGGTTGACCGGTATGACTAATCTCAAGCTTGGCTTCGCTGGAACGCAGTCGAGCATGGTTGGAAAGGAGCTCGGTTGTTGGGGACACCTGGGCATGAATCGCAGCATGGCCGTTGACAGCCGAGATGCTGCAGCCCGGCTACCGAGCTCCTAGAAGAGTGGGCTGGCAGTCGGGTTAGGTGATGTTTAGCAAGATTTGTGCTGACAGATGGGGTAGCAGAACCATGTGTCGAGAGATCACTGGGAGTAGATTTGGGGCGCAGAAGGTATATAAGCAAGTCTGCACCCCCCATGCTGGACACACGAACATTTGGTAAGAGAAATACTTACACTCAACTCAGTCCTCTCTCTCTTTCTATCCCTATGTGTGTGTGTCTAACTTGATCGTCGAGGGATTTTTCGACCACACACCGCCGAGTAGCTCACTGCTATTGTGTACGCAGGTGATCGGACAGAAACGGAGCTTGATAAAAAGGAATACGGGCTCGCCTAAATATTTGCTCCCGTATAATTGGCGCCGTCTGTGGGAAGTTTGCAGACAAAACCTTGTCTTCCAGGCTCGTTTGATCACCGTCCATGGCAAACAACGAAGAGATTTCGCTGTCCGCCGTCGACGAAGTTACCCCGGAGTCGGGCAGACGGAGAGAAGGGCATCCCACCATCGTTTCTCCGATGGCGGACCTGGAGACTTCTCCAGGAGGACATTCAAGAGATGTGCGGGATAAGCGCGGAAGAAGTTATGGTTATTCACGGAGTCCAGACGGTCATCGGCGATGGAGAGAATCACATACCAGACGTCTGGAACACAAGTTAAGGAACCAGGACGCCGTCATCCGACGAATGGCGGCGAAGATGGAAGAGCTGAAGCGGCATGTTAAAAGGAAGGGTGTAGCTGGAATGGGAGACCACAGTGAGCGCACCCAACCCCGCTGTTTAGGCAGTCAGAGTCAGCGACACACTACATCCATTTCCATCACTAGAAGTTACAAGGTTGAAGAGTCCGACCTGCACAAAGAGAAGTCCAGCGCGCAAGATAGCACGTATCGACCCTCACGTCCGGCGACGATGTCGAGGTATTCTTATTCCGCTCGTTCAGAGGATTTGCGGGCAGTCTTGAAGGAACGAGCTCTCCGGCGAGAGGCTCAGAGGGTGCCGGCGTTCCAACGGCTATCCTATGGGGTTCACGCCAGCGAGGAGGTTGGAATGCCTCCACCCCGCCAAGCAGTGCCACTCCTTCTAGATACAGACTTGGCAAGGCTGAGCGCCACCCCTTTCTCCTTGGAGATAGAAACGACACCACTTTCGACAGGCTTCTACCAGCCTAAATTCACACTCTACGACAGGAAAACCGATCCCTACATGCATGTGAGTCACTTCCGACAAGTCATGGCTGGGCATAGGCGGAATGATGCACTTATGTGCCTTATCTTTCCGTCAAGTTTAGGCGAACTGGGTTTGAAATGGTTCGAGAGGTTGCCGGAGGGGAGCATAGAAAGGTGGCATCAGTTGGCTGAGGCCTTTATGACGCGCTTTAAAACCAACACGAAAACACCGAAGGAAGTTGACCACCTACTGAGTGTCAAAATGGAGCCATGCGACACATTGAAGTAGGGCTGTGCAGCGGATGACCTGCCCCGCCATAACCGCCCGACTCGACCCGACCCGACGTCAAATGGGTGGATGCGTGGTACCTGGCGAACGGGTGCGGGCTGAATATTTTAGGGTTTTCGGGTTCGAGTCGGGTGGCAGGTGATCCGCCATTTTACTCCGCAAACCCGACCCGCCCGTGCCTTTCTTTTTTCCTTTGTTTTTCCCCCCAAATTTATACACGCATCAGTCCCCTTTTGTTTAGAATTGGCCCTAATTCCTTCACAGACCAACACGCTGAGACTCTCTCTCTCTCTCTCTCTCTCTCTCTCTCTCTCTCTACCCTACCCTACCGTCCGACGGTAACCTCCGGCCGACGATCTACACTGAACGACCGACGATCTACACTTCTAATCGACGATTTGCTTGCACTGAACGACGATCGATCTACTCCACTGAGGTATCTCTCTCTCTCTCTCTCTCTCTCTCTCTCTCTACTACATTTTTCTCTCTCTTCTACCATTTATCTGAGGAGTGAAGTACAGACCTTGAGTGAGTTGGGTGATCAAATGTGTGTTTTTTTTAGACTGAAATGGGAAGAGCACCTTGCTATGAGAAAGTGGGGTTGAAAAGGGGGAGATGGACTGCAGAAGAAGATGAGATCTTGACCAAGTACATTCAAGCTAATGGGGAAGGTTCTTGGAGGTCTATGCCCAAGAATGCTAGTGAGATTTTCTACTCTTCTTTACATTTCACTATATCAAACTTATATATGTAAGTTGAGAGAGTTGCTTTTCGTTTTTGTCTTGTCAATATAAGTTTTCAATAGAGGGAAATAAATTGACAAATATTTCGTATCTCATTATGATTTGATTTTGGGAACTTTTTCTTTCTTTGTTTGGCTTTGGCCAAACATCACTTTGTAGGTTTTGACCAAATTATGAATCTTGCAATAAATTAAGTTACCAATTTTTTATTTTTTTTTAAAATTATTTTTTAGTTGAGGAAAGCTACCAAATTTTGTTGGTGGATTCTTTAGGCTCAATTCATTGAAGATAATAAGGTTAATCCACTACTGTGAAGTGAACATTTGTCAATTCTCTCCAATTACGTTGTTGCAACGATGGTTTTTTTCTTCTTCTTTTTTTTTCCTATTATATATATATATATATATTTTTTAATTTTAGTAATTATATAATACTTATTAAAAAATATCCAATAAAGTTGTGATTAGAAATTGTTTTTAAGAACCACAACTGAAATTGTTTTTAAGTCTCATTCTTTATTTTAAGTCTTTTTCATAATCTTAGTGAAATTCTTTGTGGTTTTAGTTGAGTTTCATGTGTGATTAAGTATGAGATCATTTGGCTCAAAGTGGTATAGCTTGAATCATGATTGTCTAGAGTGATTTTTCGTAAAGTGTTTTTAAAGTAATTTTTTAAATGACTGAGAATTAATTTCGACAAAATTGAGGATATCTAATTATTTGACCTTCCAACTCTCAAAACCTTATCTTATTACTTTGCAATCACTTTACAAAAAATCACTCTAGAGGATCCTAACTCGTATGGCTTACCGGTGAGACTTTTGAAGCAACATGTTTTGAGTTCAAGTCTCTTTAACTTTGCTTGATATATGCTTAATAAATATTTTATGGTTTTAGAAAAAACAATAAAAATATAAGAAGATTACTCTGATGAGAAAATTGCATATGACATATGAAAATTATTTGATCTTCAATGTCTCTGATGGATGGTTGAGCCCATGTGTGCTTAACCTTATTGTAATT